GGAGCTCCAGAATCGGGAAAATTGACATAATCGAAAGTTCAAGTTTACTTTTATAAAATTGCTCTTACAGTCTGCAAAAAATAATAAGCTGCATCCAATTCGAAGATTAAGGAATAACGCAAGCATCAACATTAACTGAAATAGATAATTGTATAATTTTAGCATATACCGTTCGTTATACGTTAAACGCGCACGCGAAAACGTATTCTGCACTTGCGCACACGCATATACGCGTGCGCGTAAAGATCTTACGCGCACACGTAAACGCCAATGTGCATGTGTCAACGCGGCGCATGCGCAGAAAGTTTTTAGCTTTGAGGTCCGGATTATGGGTGTCCAAATTAACGACTTTTGACTGTATTAGTTTCAGAATAGAGAGCAAATACCTAAATTAAAAATGAGAAATTAAGAGGCTATTACTAAATTAAATTATAAAGTTGATTTACATATTTTTTATCTTGTATGTATGAAAAAGACGTAGCAAATGTTGATGGTATAGAACCTAGATCCATATTGAAGGGGGAACTTGTCAGCCGAGTAAAATTAAGTATTCAACTTTTATTTCATTGACATTTGCAGCCACAACTTATTTAGCACTCTAATAGAGCCTATTCAAGAACATTTAAATTTTTCAAAATGTTGCAATAGGAAAGCAGCACAATAGCATCCTAACGGCAACAGAGGTAAAAGCAAAAATGTGCAGTTATCCATAATGGAGGCTCACCACGGGAAGGTTTTGGTGTAGGTTGCTTATTTAAAATTAAGGTTTCAGTTCTCGAGATTTTAAGTTTCCAAATTAACTACGTCATCATTGTTATGCCAAAAATCAGCGTATATATGTGTATGTAAATCTATATGATATAGATTGTTCTTGAAGTAACGCAGTCCAGAAAAGTTATTACTGTTTTTAAAATACATAAAAGAAATCCCCAAATTAAAAATAAGGAATTAAGAGGCTATTGCTATATTAAATTACAATTTTGAGATTTACATATATTTTATTTTAAATGTGTGTGTGTATCATTTCTTAATTTTTACTAGTGTTTGATAAAAACAATAAATTCAATAGTTTAATACAATAAATTCATTATGAACTAAATAGATTTTTAAGACATAAATTAGTAACGGAAGCTATTCTATTATTTTTTAATTTATCACATTTTTTTTAAGCCTCCTTCTCTTAATTTAACATCATTTCATATATTGTCGACCACTAAAATTCTGTGTAGTAACTTTAAAAAAAGTACTGAAAGTAGTTATATTTTTAAAAACTTATGCGTGTATATGCCTTTCATGTTTACTGTTTAAAATATATGCATATTTATAATAAGACATAAATTAAATGAATATTTTAATAAGTGTATCAATTTAAAAAAAATTTTTTTCTACCTTCTGAGTGGCACAGGATTTTAGATCCGTCATGAAGATCGGTATTTAAACAGCATTTATCAGTTGTGTTTGTATAATTACTTACTTTAGTCTGTATTTTCACAAACTTACATTCATTAAGATGATATTTTCATTATTAAAGAAAGTAAAAAAGCAAAATGTCTTTAATTATAAGCTAATATATGCCAAGTAGCAAAACTTCTGATGACCGGATGAAGCTGGTCATAACGCTCAAAGAGTTAAATAGTTGCCATGAACTGAAATTTTCAAAGTTATTAAACCTCTAATTAGATGATACAGTCAAAAGTCGTTAAGCCGGACTCTTCGGGCGATTCCGGATTATCGATTTTTCCGGATTATAGATCATCAGTTTAAAGCTCGTAAGATGCATGCAGAAATTTCTAAAATTAAAATATATAAAACCGTAATTTATGAAATAAATAAGAACAATTATAATCTAAAAGGTATCAAAAATTTACAAAAAAAAACAAAAAAAAAAAAAAAAAAAGCTTAATATTTATTTGTTTTATTTTATTAAACATTTCTTTCAATGTAAGTTGTTAAGTTGCTTCGTTTTATGTGATAATACTTTCTCTTTAATTCTATAAACAGACATAATTTCTTGTTCAGTTACAAAGTTCCACTGTTCAAGTCCCGTTAATTGCTGTGCCGAGAATACCGACTAACTTTTCAATCGAAATTTTTTCGTTTTCACTAACCTCTCTGTCACCTTCTTCATGTCTTTATCCATTTTTTGCAGCAATTCCACTTTTTGTTTGATGGACATCGAAACATACTTTCATTTTGTACGATCCTTTGGGAGCTCCAGAATCGGAAATTGACATAATCAAAAGTTCAAGTTTACTTTTATAAAATTGCTCTTACAGTCTGCAAAAAATAATAAGCCAGATTCAATTCGAAGATTAAGGAACAACGCAATCATCAACATTAACTGAAATAGATAATTAGATAATTTTAGCTTATACTGTCCATTATACATAAAACGCGCACACGAAAACGTTTTCTTCACTTGCTCACAGGCATATGCGCAGTCGTAAAAGGTCTTACACGTACGCGCAGAAAGTTTTTAGCTTTGAGGTCCGGATTATGGATCATTCTGGATTATGGGTGTCCGAATTAACGACTTTTGACTGTACTAAAAAAGTAATATTTGTTTTAATATATGAATTAATATAATGATTAGAGATATTATAAATTGTATGTAATATTATATTATTAGTTAGTAGCATAGGAAATAATTAAATAGTTTGAAATATAATTTCTTTTACATATACAAGATATTATATATTACATTATGACAAGACATTTTCTTTTACCGAAACTTTTATTGTGAATGAAATGTGTTGAAAATGTCACCGCTCATCATATTTCCCTCAAGAGTTGATACATTTTTGCTAACATTCTGAAAGCACTTTAATGATAATTTTTCATTCGGAAATCAAATGCTGATGGTGATGCCACCATTATCCATAAACTGCATGCGAATGATCGAAATCAGATTTAAGCTTGCAACTCAAGATTGAAAGGGGACCCACATTTCATAAACAGTCACTGTGGACTTCTAAAATGCATCTCCTTCATCTACAAACTACTGTAAGAGAGAATTGGCAGTTTGCATGAGCATATCGTGGATCTCATTTATCTATGTGCATAGAATCCACCTAGCTTTGCCATAGTTCAAATGCTTTTTTCATAATAGTTTCTACACTGTTGAAAGCACTGACCCAAGCTTTTTGATAGTCATGCATCTCTTCTCACAAATAATCACATTCACACAACCTGTGTTTATCTTCACCCACTCTCATCCCTCAATAAAATCTTTAATTATTTATTCGCTTGGGTGCTAGGAAGATACTCTTTCCCATATTCAGCTGGAGTTTGCCATGTTTCAGATTACTGGACGTTTTCTTGAACATGAAATATGATCACAATCCATTGTTCCATTGTCCAAGGCAGCTGTTGTTAGCTCACTGTCGCGATTTCAGTGTAAGATTGGGATAGTGGCTGTACTGATCGAAAGACACACAGGTTGTGTACGGATAGAAGTTTGTAATAGCAACAACACGAGTCATATTTGGATCCCCAATACTGCATTATCCTTTCAACTCTGCTGCAAAGTTGGCAGTTGTTGGTGACTAATTTTTCACCAACCTAACATCTAAAAAAAACAGTAGCCATTTTAAAAAATGCTGTCATCCTTAAAATTACATAAAACAGCAATGAATTGAAAGTGATAATAATGGATGCTAGAGGCATCCATTATCCATTATGAAGCACTAAAAATTGCTGAAAACAAACATCAATACTCAAAATTACATAAATCAGCAATAAATTAATCCAAACTGAAATGAGTTTCCATATTAAAACTTTTTTTTTTTTTTTTTTTTTGTGTGTGTGTGTGTGTGTTCTGTCCATATGCATAATAATATTTTAACTTAAAATACCATCAGAGAATTGCAGAACCCTCAGCATGGCAGAGCAGACTCACATTGCTCTCCATGTACAGCCTGTTTTGATTTTTTTTTTTAAGAAAAGGGTGGGGAAAAAAAAACGAGAATTGCACAAATTAGCTTTGTGGAATGCACATCCCTGCATTCTCTACTCCTGGGGAAAATGTAGCACTTTCTTTTTCATTAGCAGCTAAATTCTCTAATGGCATTACAATTCTTACGATAAAATAAATTCCATGCATTAATTACAACAAATGGAAACCATAAACATGACCCTCGAGTTTCAAAACCACTCACATTTCCCTTATCACCCAGATAGATGGTGGCATTACGCAGTTGTATAATGTACATGCAAGTTAGTGGGTTACCAAATAAATACATTTTCATAAAATTCAGAGTTGCCTTCTTTGGCACCATAATACTCTGCCCAGTGATTCTAATTAGGGTTGCTTGGATAATGTGATAATACCGAATCCACTTGTACATTCTAACAAGCAAGAACAATGATGAAAAACATTATTGTAATTATATTTGTAATAGGAGTGAAAATAAACAATCAGAATAAATACAACTGCAGGAATGATACTTATAATCTGCAATCTATATATTTTTCTCAAAACAGATAATCACATTATATCTACATTACAGCTATTTAGATTCAGTGCTTTAAACAAAACAAAATAAAGAAATAGTTTTGCTGTCCTTTTAACCATTAACTGATTTCTCAATTTATTGCATACAATTAAAAAAATAGGAAACATTGTTAAACTTATGCTCATGAAGCTCTATGCTGTGCTTAGCGTTTCATTGATGTCCTTCCTTCCCTATACATTCTTTTTTTCAGTAGGGGATTTCCACCATTCAAATGTAACTGCTTCATTTTCCAAAAGCTAAAATGTAAGGTTTGGTTCTGCAGAAAGGTACAGAATGAATTATGAATTTCACTGTAATGTTCGATAAAGCTGAGTAAATGTATGTAAAAAAAAAATAGTGCTAGTTTTATTTCATATGTACATGTTATAAAGAGAAATAGAAAACATATTGAAAATTGAAATACGCCAAAAAAATTTTTTTAGGAATTTCATTCATAAAATTTGTGTTTCTCGTATTCTTTTAATTACAAAAGTTTGTTATTTGCAGAGGCAATACACCAGAAACTAGAGGCACAGCATTTGTTGTCTATGAAGATATATTTGATGCAAAGAATGCTTGTGATCATTTGTCTGGATTCAATGTTTGTAATCGCTACCTGGTTGTATTATACTACCAGTCCAACAAGGTAATACAATTTTATATTTTTATTTAAAATGAAAAAAAATATCGTTTTTAAATTTATAATATTGTTACAATTTTCATGTTGTACATATTTTTTTTTTTCCATCATAAGTGTGAAAAATATACTTACTGGCATACCTTAAGATATTTCAGTTTTTATCTACTATAAAGTGCTAAAAAATAGGTACCATCGGAGAATAAATTTTTTAATGAACATGACTAGAGAATTATTTAATTGTACTCATATAAGCATTGAAGATTATAGTCGTATGTAACCTTGCATATAAGTTGTCTCAGTGAATATATACGATAAGCAAAAACTCTTTTTCTGATTATGAAAATTTATTGCATTAAAGCTATTATAATTAGATACGCATGGTTTTTTTGGAAATGCGAACTGCAGTAATTAATCATGTTTTAAAACAGTACCTAATTTCAGCGTATGTCCGCTTTGTAGCTTGGAGAAGTTGAGTCAAAGTTTCAGTTCTTGTCATATGCTCTTTGAATGTTTACTGCTTAACTCCTTAATACAGGTACACATTGCACAAAATGGGATAGTTCTATATCTCCCATTCTACTGGGCCAATTGTCAAAATTTAACTGGTGTTCTGTATGTCTCAAAAGTGCGACTTAGGATATATATTAGATTTATACATAGCATTATTCTTTTCCATATTTTGATTCTACGACTCAATTTATATGTAGATATTAATTTTTGTAATTTTTGGTGAGAAATTTATGGAGAAATTTAAAAATTAATCTTGGCACATTTTCTTCAGTTTGCACCAAGTCACTTGGCGAACTTCTTAATTTATAGCAACCTATTTTCCTTTTCTTTTTTTTTTTTTCTCATTGTACAGAAGTGGAAAAAAGGTTATTATTCATACTTTCAAAATAATTTTAACAAAGTGCATAAATCATATTTGGCATTACTATCGCTTATAACGAATATGCTAAACTTTAAAACTCGCTAAAATGTAAATTCATGTATATCTTAGGAAATTTTGAATAAAAAACTCTAATTTTTTGCAGGTATGCTTATAAATACATCTACTTTAAGATTATGGTAAAAATTTTATAGGTTATAATTTAATTTGTTTTTCAAAAATTTATAAAAATAAATCATGTAAAATGCGTGAATTTTATTTAGAATGAACATAAATTTCAAAATGTAAAAGGAAGAATAAAATAAGTTTAATAAAAAAGAGATGTTGATAAATTTGTGCCAAATTCAATTAACATGGAGGAGCTAAAATTTTGAGAGCTAGTTTTTTAAAAACTGCTTGTGCGATTTTTACGAAACTTGGTTCTTAGGCATAATTTTTTAGGCCAATATATAAATTCACGTATATCTTAGAAAATTTTGAATAAAAAACTCTAATTTTTGCAGGTATGCTTAAAAATACAGCTACTTTAAGATGATGGTAAAAGTTGTATAGCTTATAATTCAAGAATGTTTTCTAAAAAATTATTTAAAAATACAAATATTAAAAATAAATCATAAAAAATGGACGATTTTTATTTGGAATAAACATAAATTTCGAAATGTGAAAGGAAGAATCAAATAAGTTTAATAAAAAAAAGAGAGATTAATAAATATATACCAAATTCAATTAACATTAATGAGCTAAAATTTTGAGAGCTAATTTTTTAAATACTACTCCTGCGAGTTTTACAAGACTTGGCAGTTTGGCATAATTTGAGTCGTAAAATTGAAATATGGAAAAACATTGGTATGTTATTTCAGAAAAAGTCCAATTTTGTGTCATAATACCTATGTTAGAACATTGCTATATATAAATCTAATATATATCCTACGTCGTACTTTCAAGACTTGAAAACGCAAGTTAAATTTTGACAATCGGTCCAGTAAAATGCTAGATATAGAACTGTCATTTTTTTGGGGGGGAGTATACATCTGCTATTCTGGCTTTCAGAGTATCGATATCATTAGCTGGTGTAACAAGTATAAAGTCCTTGTTGACTTATTTACTGACATTATCATACATCATCCACAGTAGACCTCTAACTTGTAACTTCTTGGAAGATCAGCAGTGGTACAAGTTTTTTAGAAATTTCCATATCAATTCCTGATGCTCTTAACATCTGGATGATTGCATCCATATAAACTTCTAAACTACTGTTGATGACCAGTTAGTTTCATGACGCTACAAAGTGTGCTTAGGCATTTTATTGATGCCATTTTCTAAATTATAATAACAGGACTTTGTAGTAATAAAAATTTCATATTTCTAGCTTTTGATATTTTTTGTACAATTTTTGTAATGAGGGAATGATCTTTTTGCTCACCATGTAAAGTATTTATTCACATGGATATACGCAGTGGCATAATTTCAACAGCGTGGTACTCATTGGTTAGTTAGTTAACTAACTAAATTCAAGCACATGTGGTTTATGTGTCAAAAACCTTTCTAGTGAAAACTGGTTCGTATTCAATTTACATAAGGGAATTCATTGAAGCCTCTTCCAGTGAGATGCATTCCACAAGAGAAGAATGACCTTTTTTATTTATGTTAGCTATACACAAATCACATGATCTCCGAGATCATGTCTTGTTTGTTTACATTAGCTATTATTCACTTGGATCTATACACAGTGGCATAATTTCAACAGCATGTCACTTATTGGTTAGTTAATTAATTAGTTAAGGTAGCCTTTCTGGTATCTGCTGAAAATCTTTCAAATGAAAACTGGTTCGTATTCGTAGCCTCATCCAATGAGACACATTCTGCAAGAGAAGTGGAAGAAAAGAAATGAGGTGAATTAAATAAACAGTGCAATGTGGATGTTAACCGTGTTTCAAATAAGCAATATATGAGGAATAACATTTAAGAATTTAAAATGTTACCAAACTATAAATATTGCTAGAAAGTATTGTGGCATTTATTCAGGCTTTTTAAACTAGAAAACATTTTTGAAAGCAAATAAATTAACTAGCCTATATTAAGTAAAAAATACGAGTGCACATGGATGTAAGCAGACAATGAGGTGGTTTTTATAACTAGAACTATATGTTTCAAGAAAAAATAACAGGTAATTTGCTACTACCATATAAACTATAAAAATATATGTGACAGGTGTTGGATTTCAAAACAATGTAGTTTGTATTTTGTTCTTACTTTCCTTTAATTTTTTACTTAAATTATACTTATTACTTTTACTTTTTGGCCACTAATAATTGTTGTTAGTTTGGTTTCATGACAGTGGCGGCAGGGCAATTCATAGAATTATGAAAATATGTTTCTGTAATTAGTTAGGCTTATTGAAGATGAATTGTATGTTATATACCTGAGTGATGTTTTATTAAATAAATGAATACTTTAGAATATAGTAGTCTCTTTAGAGTCCGTGATACGCTGGTAGCGTAATAGTTTGACGCATAAGCGAACATTTTAATGGTACCCTCGGTGGGGCATAAGAGACGTTAGTTTGGAATTCTAAAGTATAAAAATGGAAGCTAAAGAAGCTATTAAACTTGAAGATTCACAGAGCTGCTTTTACAAAATCCTTCAATATTTTAGTTTAGGGGAGGGGGAAAAAAAAATTAGTAAGTACAAAATACAAACTACATTGATTTGAAATCCAACATCCTCCCACCTTAAGTTGTTGGGAAACAACCTATTAGAAATATTAATACAAAATGAATACTTTTCTGATTATTTAAAGAAAGGAAAATTATAATCTTTGGCAACATATAAGGACGAAGAAGGAATTTAGACTGCGAACAAAAATTACATTTCAGAAGGATACAGAAAACTTTAAACATCCTTTTGTTTTACCGGGAGAACATCAGGCTGTCAAAAGGTTGATTATAACAGAACACCAGAAGAACTCTCATGCTGGTTCTCAAATACAGTCAAAAGTCGTTAGACTCGTCGGGACTTCGGCGATTCCGGATTATCGATTTTTCCGGATTATAGATCATCAGTTTAAATCTCGTAAGATGGCATGCAGAAATTCTAAAATTAAAAATATGAAACCGTAATTTATGAAATAAAGAACAATTATGATCTAAAGGGTATCAAAATTTGCAAAAAGAAAAAGCTTAATATTATTTGTTTACTTTATTAAACATTTCTTTCAATGTAAGTTGTTTAAGTTTTGCTTCCGTTTCATGTGATAATACTTTCTCTTTAATTCTATTAAACAGACATAATTTCTTGTTCAGTTACAAAGTTTCCGCTGTTCAAGTCCTATAATTGCTGTGTCGAGAACACCGACTAATTTGTCAATCGAAATTTTTTGTTTTCAATAACCTCTGTCACGTTTCTTCGCTATTCGGAAGCGAATTATAATGACGAGGAACTTGTTTAAATCATATCAAAGACGGAGCATATCGAGATGAAATACTACATTTGGTAAGGAATTATAAGCCAAATAAAATAAAAACATCTGCGCTGAAGATAAGGATAGTGCTGACAATCAACTTCCAATTCATTACGCGCCCGCCACCGAGCAGCGTGAAATTGATAAACAGATTTCGGATTTCAAAACATACTTTCGCTTTAGATCCTTTACATATTAACAAATATATATCGGAAATTCTATTTGATATAATCGAAAGTTTAAGCTTACCTTTATAAAATTGCTCTTACAGTCTGCAAAAAATAATGAGCCGGATGCAATTCGAAAATTAAGGAACAACGCAATCATCAACATTAACTGAAATAGATAATTTTAGCTTATACGTCCATTATACATAAAATGCGCACGCTAAAACGTATTCTGCACTTGCGCACACTCATATGCGCAGTCGTAAAAGGTCTTACGCGCACGTGTGAACGCCTCACACGTGTGAACGCATGCGCAGAAAGTTTTTAGTTTTGATGTCCGGATTATAGATCATTCCAAATTATGGGTGTCCGAATTAACGACTTTTGACTGTATTGTTGAGTATTCTAAGAGAACATTATTGGATTTTAAACGCGAAAAAAGTCATTAGATTTCTTTTATCCGAATGTGTTACTTGTTTAAGATACGCAAAGAGAAATTTAACAGCACCAATATCTGCATTACCAGAAAATCACGTAAGAGATGCATCTATTTTTGAAATTATTGGAATTGATATGGCTGGACCTGTGTATTTAAAAGGAGAAGAAAAGGCTTGGATTTGCCTATATACGTGTGCTGTGTATAGAGCTGTGCATTTTGAACTCAGTTCCTCACTGTCTACAGAAGTGTGGCGTTCCAACAGATACTTCAACTTCTACTCATGACATGGCGCCACATGTAAAATCCAGTTCTTAATCGGAGCAGCAAAGCGACGTCATTACTCACTCAGACTTCTCGCAAAACAACTGTACGCGAAGGTAGCATGAACTGTGTTCCGAGCTCTGCGTTGATCTCTGCAATGTAATTTAAGTTGTAATTTAGTACTTAATATATTCTTTTGTTATAGGAGATTGTCTACTCTTATTTTCTTTAATTATATCATGCATTAAGCACACGACCACCAAAAGTGGTGACCTTTTGACTGAGCACGCTACTGACAATGGATTTTCAACGACCCTAAGCCACGTGTATCCAAGGCATTCTGAAGAACTGACTAAAAATAACAACGAATATGGACATTAAACGTATGCTACAACGTACCCCTTCAATTATTTCTAGAAGTATTGATGTATATTGCTTGTGTTTTTTTCAAAGTCGTGCATATCATCACAAGGAGCTTCAGCAAATCATCAATGTGATCTGTTCCGTTCCGCTGACTTCGCCAGTCGTGCAATAATTCTTCGATCATTCAACTTTTGTGACAAATGTGATACAATAGTGATTTTCGCTAAATGTGCTACATCAGTAATTTTTCTGCAACGTGCTACGGCAAAATTCTTCCCTCAGTGTTCGAAAGTAGTGAATTTTTTTCCCATGTGCTACAGGAGTGATTTCCTTTTTCCTTCGAAAGTGCCTTAGCAGTGTGAAGTGGTGATATTGTGCGTGCGCAATACAAAATGAACGCATCATTTTTTTTTTTTTCTCAAATAAGGGTTTCTTTTCAAATGCATTTCGGTAAAATATTGTGTGTGTAATTGCTGACCCTGTCTTATTTGTGTGTGTATCGTTACGTAAATTTTTTTCTGCATGGTTAAATATTTTATTGTTATCATGGTAAAATATCAATAGTGTATCCTCATGCTACAATATTTGTGCTGTTAAGTGTTTAATATGAAAATTATCTATCAGTATGCCCGACGATATTCCACGAGAGCCACAAATCACACGCGTTGCGGTGAAGCCACCGCCTTTCTGGAAAAATAATCCTTCATTGTGGTTCGCTCAGATCGAAGCACAATTTTCTATCTCTCGCATTAGTGAGGATTCTACAAAATTCAACCATGTAGTTGCAGCAATTGAGTCTGATATTCTGAATTCAGTGCATGACTTAATTCTCAAACCACCTGATTGTGATAAATACTCCAAACTGAAACAGCGGCTCATTGAAATCTATTCAGAAAGTGAATCTTCAAAAATACGTACTTTACTACAAGGACTTGAACTTGGAGATCAGCGACCTTCATACTTGCTGTCACGAATGCGTGATCTGGCAGGAAGCCATTTTAGTGACGACTTGTTGAAGTCACTATGGCTTTCGCGTCTTCCTAATAACATACAAATAATTCTTGCTGCTTCCAATGAAGATCTAACCCGTTTAGCAGCAATGGCTGACAAAATTAATGAACTTGTTACTCCAGCTTATGTCAGCGCTGCTAATGCTGCACCTTCCAGTTCATCCCTCGAACAACAAGTGGCTGAATTGACCAAAAAAGTATCTGAACTCTCTACAAGTCTTCATGCTTCACGGAGATACAATCGATCAAATCAGGGCTCACGTAATAAATTTCGTGCCCGAAGCAGGAGTCAATCTCGTCACAATACTCGAACGCAGTACAAAGAACCCACAAGTGGCATATGTTTTTATCATATGAATTTTGGCTCTCAAGCTCGCAAGTGTGCCCCTCCATGCACTTTTGAACAAGCGGGAAACTAAATGGGCGGTCTTCTGCTGGCCAACAGAATGTCCGCCACATCGACAGAATAGTACTGGCTGATCGTTCAACTCAATTATGTTTTCTAGTAGATACTGGAGCTGACATATCAGTGCTCCCGAGAACTAAAACAAATGCTCACCAACTTAATAAACTTGTACTGTATGCAGCCAATGGTACCCAAATTGCAACCCACGGCACCAAACTATTGACACTTGATTTAAACTTGCGCCGGACTTTCAACTGGCCTTTTATTATTGTGGATGTAACTCAAGCAATTATTGGTGTCGACTTCTTGATACATTTCCACCTTCTAGTGGATGTCAAGAATAATTGCTTAATTGATGCTACAACTCAGCTGACATCACAGGGCCAAGCTTCTCACATATCGAACATACCTACCAACATAAGTGTTGTATCGGGCAGCACACGGTTTCATCAGTTATTAGCAGAATTCCCTGACATTTTAAACCCATCCAAATCAGGGCAGCATACTCATCAGCCAGAAGTGTATCATCACATTGAAACACATGGCCCGCCTGTATTTTCCAAGCCTCGTCGTCTTTCTCCAGAGATGCTAAAGCTGCTCGCAAAAGAATTTGAATTCATGCTAGCACAGGGAACCATTCGCCCATCTAAAAGTCCATGGGCCAGACCACAAAAACGGGTCCTTCGGTATTTATCCAGAAAGTAGATTACGTTTTGGAATAAAAAAATAAACAAAGTATAGGAAACAAATTTTATTATATACAGATGAAAGCCACACTCAAATACTACTTTTCTACATAGTCACCATACAAATTAAGGCATTTATCGTAGCGATGTACGAGCTTGGAAATTCCTTCGTCGAAAAATTCGGCCGCCTGCGCCTTCAACCACTTCGTTACCTCTTCTTGCATGCAGCTGTGCGTCGTCATCAAAACGCTGCATAGCCAGCCACTTCTTCATTGCTGGGAATAGGTGGAAGTCGCTCGGTGCCAGGTCGGGACTGTACGGCGGATGAGGAAACAACTCCCACTTAAAAGATTCAAGAACTTTACGAGTGACATTTGCCGTGTGGGGCCGGGCGTTGTCGTGAATCAACAAGATCTTAGAGCTCAACATTCCTCTGCGCTTGTTTTGAATTGCTCTTCTGAGTTTTTGGAGAGTTTGGCAATACCTTTGAGAGTTTATTGTAGTGCCTCTTTCCAGGAAGTCCACCAAAATTACACCTTTTCTGTCCCAAAAAACAGTCGCCATCATCTTCCTTGCCGACATTGTTTGCATGCATTTCTTGGGTTTTTGGGGAGAACTTGTGTGCCCCCACTGCATTGATTGCAATTTCGTTTCACAGTTCACATGTTTCACCCATGTTTCGTCACCAGTAACGATGCGATCGAGTAAAGAGTCACCATCCTTATGGTAAGCGTCCAAAAAGTTCAACGCTGCAGCCATTCGCTGATTTTTGTGGTCCTCTGTCAAGATTTTTGGAATCCATCTTGCACACAAAACTTGTGGTAACCAAGCTTTTCGCTGATGATTTTTCGTGCAACAAACTTCGCGAAATTTGTGGAAAACTCAAAGAAAGTTCCGTTATTGTGAAATTTCGATTTTCACGGACTTTAGCATCGACTTTTTCGAGAAGTTCGGCGGTCACTATGCTGGGTCTCCCACTTCGATCTTCGTCGTGAACATTGGTTCGGCCATTTTGAAATCTTATGACCCACTGACGCACTCCACCTTCAGTGATAATGTTGTCCCCATACACTTCACGAAGCTGCCGATAGATTTCTATCGGTTTACAGTTTTTTGCAGTCAGAAACCTTATTACTGAGCGCACCTCGCAGCTCGCGGGATTTTCAATTAACGCAGACATTTCAAACCGTCACAGTATCTGAACGGAGCACAGCACGAACCTCTCACTAGCACGGCTAGATGCAGACTGAGCTGCGCAACGCTCTGACCCCAAGATGGCCGCGCTAGCCCC